GTGCAAGCGGAAAGCGCAGGGCGCAAACACATTCAGGGCGTGTCAGAATACACTTTTGCTAATTTAAGGACGAAAAATCTGCTTTGCGCTGTGGCACATGGCCTAAACGGGTTGAGTTTATTTTCTTAATGAGTTAAAGGTGTGTTTTGAGAATAAACCAATCAGAATCTCATCTTCCATTACCTTTAAGCGCATTTGAGCATCACATATTATTTGCACATTTATTGAATGGAAATCTTTCTGATTCACGTCTTCAGATGATGCCTTCATAGCAATGTGCGTGCGGTTGATCGCTCCGATTACATTGGGAAAACCGGCGATTGCTGCAAGTTGCGCTTTAATGTTTGGCTGGTCAACTGCATGGTATGGAAACCTTTTATACCTGCTAGAAATGCGGATGATCCCGTCCTATACAGCTGCCAAAGCACGGCTCAAAGATACTTTGTAGTGTGCAACTTAACATAATTGCCTCTAGGAGTCGCCAATGGAAATAAAACAGACACACATAAGAAACGTGCGTACACCACACATGAGGTTAGCGTAGACTAATGCACATTCTCACGTTCATTTCATTGTTAGTAAATCCAAACGTGAGCGTGAAATCTGGCGTACGCAAAGTTTTTGTGCGTACGCAGCATTGATACATAAGGCAGCTGATGTTCAGGAATGCGACCGCAGTGTGAACGGTTATGTCAGATTTCATGTGACTACATAATCTTTGCGCGACATGCGTCATCATTCTGTGCTGCAAACACCATCTACTCCTCACAGCACAGTAGAAGGGCACACAGGGCGATTACTGTACCACAGAGAGTTGGTTGTTCATGTTTAAAAAGATTTTGAAGGCAGAATTGGTGCTTGTTGTGCTGACTGCATGATTTTTAAAGTAGTCGCGTCAAGGATGTTTTTACACTGCATGACCATCTGGGCTAGCGTTCAGTCTGTGCTGTGTTTACACTGTAGGATGGATTTGAAAATCATGCAGTCTGAACTCAGCATTAACCAATCTGGTTACGATTGGACAACGGGTTAATCGCGAAGCTGAAGAGCTAAGAATGTATGTTCTTAACTGTTTGTTCTTAATTGTTTTGTTTTATTTATTTTTAAATAAAACAAGTTATTTTTACTGTCTGTTCAGACAATGTTCTAGCACCTTTTTTGCCCAAGACAAATTTCTTCTCGGGGACAAATAAAGTTTAACCTAACCTAAGCTTCGAGGATGTTGAGGATAGGGGAGCCATGCGCAAAGGAGGGGGCACTTTCATTTTAGGGGGGAACTGCTGGAGCACCCTAACCCTCCTTCCGCACGTGCCTGATGTTTATAACGAAGTAAAATGAAAAGACTCTACAAACAGAGATAAACCAACTCCACCTTCCCAGTTCAGTCTGTGACTGCTCATTAACCCATGATGAGTTCACTACACTAGTGGTCAGAAAGACACGCACCATAGTTTTCAAACATCACAAATGATCAATGTGTTCAATCACAAGTGACAAATTAGATTTCAAATGCCGAAATACACATTAGTAGTAGCAGAACAACCTTTACAGTTCATGAAATACACCACGGTTGTCTGTGAAAAGGGCAATAATCATATAAGCATAATCAGACAACAAGCTTACTTTATATAGAACACACATTGTGCGCATAATTAGCCATTGTATGCTGTCCGTAATTGTACTTTTGCGCATGCGGGTCAGTTTAGGACTGTGATCTGTTCAAACTGCAAATCTGATATTGACCACATCTATAACAGCAGATCTGAGAAAAAAAAAATCACATTTGAGCACTTAAGGCTGATTTATACTTCTGCGTCAAGCGCATGCGTATGCTACGGTGCAGCCTGTGCGTTGACGCATAGTCCTACACCATGGCCATCGGTGTCGCTGACAGGCACCTCTCAAAAAATGTAACTACACGTCGCAACGACGCATAGCGCAAGCTCTGTGATTGGGCGGATTGGTAGCGCTGACGAGTGTGGGCGGGTCAGAGAGCTGCACGAATGGTGCGAGCCTGATGGAACGATTGTTTACAAGTGTGGAGTCCCGTGAAGGAGCTCCGGATGGAAAGTTTTGTTTTGTGTTTACCTCATAGTTAAAGTTGTTGCACGTCCGCCGGTTCCTGCCTCAAAATGAGCGAGTTTGAGTCACTTGTACATCCCGGAAGTGTTCAGAAAAACACAACAACAGCGAAGAAACTCGACACAGAGGAACATCAACACCTCACTGCCAACTAGCGTTTCGGAAGTGTTAATGCCGACCAACAGAGACAGCGCGCAGAAGTATAAACGCACAGCTACGCGCGTTGCATGCGCCGTGGGTTACGCTGGTTACTTGACGCAGAAGTTTAAACCAGGCTTAAGCCTCGCGGTGTGAACGTAGCCTGAGTGTGTTTCATTAAGTATGTGTCTGTGTGTGTTGACTTACATGAATGTGTCCCATACTGCAGGCAGCGATGAGTGCCTGCTGCAGGGCCCGGCTCTTCAGACTGTGCTCCTGCTGACTCTCAGAGCTCCAGTGCAGCTCCAGCAGACACTCGATGACCTCTGAATGACCCCGCAGAGCCGCATGAACCAGCGCACACTGACCGCTCTTATCCACATGATCCACCTGACACAACACACACACACACACGCACACACACACACACACACACACACACACACACACGCACACGCACACACACACACACACACACAGTGAGAGCCTGTAAGATTCAATCGTTTCTTCTTCTAGTGTGTCCTAGTGCATGACAACTGATGCCATATCTGACTCAATCACTGACTACCTTCACATGGACGTCAGTAATCGAATGATTTGCCTTAATCTGAATGAGACAATACTATGATCAAGGTGATTACATGAGCTGCTTTCTGAATGTTACTTTTATGATCCTGTTTTACATCTTATAGTACATAGTTCGTAGCAACACGGTGGCTCAGTGGTTAACACTGTGGCCTCACAGCAAGAAGGTTGCTGGTTTGAGTTTGCATGTTTCCTCCGGATGCTCCGGTTTACCCCACAGTACAAAGACATGCGCTATAAGCGAATTGAATAAACTGAATTGCCCATAGTACTGGGTTACGACTGGAAAGGTATCCGTTGTGTAAAACATGCCATAATAGTTGGCGGTTCATTCCGCTGTGGCAACATTCTATTGTTATACATGTTGTCTATATATATATATATATATATATATATATATATATATATTAGTGCTGTCAATCGATTAAAAAAATTTATTAATCGCACCTTTTTAAAAAAATTTATCGCGATTAATCGCATTTAAAATACTGAAACTTGTAAAAAAAAATGTAAAATTAATGTAAACGCAAGACAAAAACTATTTAAATTCAAAATATAATTGTTTATTAAAATTAAAATTGCAGATATGGAAAAAGAAAAATTATAATAATAAACTATAGAATACAAACTGTTGCACTCATTGTAAAGTTTTATTGCTGTGAGTTGAGAACATTAATTATAGAGTAGAAACAATTTAGCTTAATCCTCCTTTACATTCATCCAGTTGCTAAGACTAGGAGTATCCCGCAAGTGCACAGAGACTCCCAAATTCCCGCAAATGAATGAGAATCTCTCGCAAACCGGTCGTTATATACATTGCACACCCCTCTCCAAAGCATCCCTCCTAGCTCTTCAGGTAGCCTATGTCGCGCGCAACTCACCCCCACCGTCCTTCAGGTACGTCTCGCGCACACGCTCCTACTCAGATACGTCGCTCACTCCCCCCCTGACACCCCTCAATGGGCCTGACACAGACACACACACAGACACACACACAAACACTGCAGACGTTTTGGCCCCAACGGCCTTCCATACTGGAGCGACTCCCCTCAGATTCAACACGCATGATCACGTTCATCAAATTTGCTTAAACTAAGCGTCCTAAAGTATTACTGTATTTCACTAGGATTCTGACACAACAACGCGAAGCATACGCTTTCGTTGCATTTATAATGAGAAAACATGCTAAACTTGGAGGGCTCATGCTGAAAGGCAAAGTAATGCCCTGTCTTTGACAGCTCGCGACTTCACCAGAGACTTTCTGAGTACATTTACATAAGACACCAATACTCTGATTTTAATATGATTAAGATTAAACTCTTAATAAAAGTCTACCATGTAGCCTAAGCAGTGATTTTATTACCTTAAAGGAACACCGAGTCACGAAATGCGGAGGATTTTCTTTCTGTTCGCCATGCGGTATTAACTTACAACAGAAGTCGAAAGTTAGAAATGAAACAACCGAAATTGCATGAAACTTTGGAGAGCCTGGTGATGCGACTAATTGTTTTATACTGAAACTTGCCTTCAAAAAGTGCTTCCTTGGTCTTATCCACATTTCTTGCATGTTAAACACACGTCCACCACAACAGGAAGTAAAAAAAAAACCTGCATCTGCGTTAATTGCGTTAATTTATTTTAACGTGTTAATTATTTAAAATAATCGCATGCGTTAACGCACTAATTTTGACAGCGCTAATTATATATATATATATATATATATATATATATATATATATATGTATTAAGGGCGTAACGATACGCGTATTCGTATTGAACTGTTCGGTATGAGACTTTCGGTTCGGTACGCATTGCGAACCGAGCGATTCAATTCAGATTAATATCTAAAAAGATAAAAGGGAATAAGTACAAAATATTATATTTTCAGTGCAACAAGGCTCAACATGGCATCCCAAAAGTTACCTTTACATGCGCACACATGCACGTACGCACACCTGCCTTGTTTTTTTTTACATCAGTTCTTTGTTGTTGTTTTTTTCCTCTCTTTTTCTTCCATTTGTATGTGATCCTAATTTGTGTACCTTTTGCATATTATTACAAAAAATGGCCCTTTAATTTTGTGACAAGTTCAACTGCAGTTCATTTCTCACACTATGCAGGCAAACAGATGATCCTGCATACAGATTCTCAAGCAACAGCCACCTCTGACATGTCATTCACAAACTTTTCATTGACGGTCATGTGACAGTATAGTGATATATTTAGATTTGGGTGACAAAAACTGACAGTATTTGAGTGATTTTATTGGCTGACCTTGGCTCCTCTTTTGCAGAGCAGACTGATCAGCTCCAGATGACCAGCGGCTGCAGCGTAACAAAGAGCGCTCATGCCGTTTTCTGACAGCACGTCCACATTTGCTCCAAACTCCAGCAACAGAGCCACCATCTCCTGATGCCCGAGGTGGGACTGAACGCACAGCACCGGCCCGTTATTCAGCACTTCTGTACGGTAGTTCACATTGGCTCCTCCCAGCATCAGCAGACGACTCACCTGCGCGAACACACACACATAGAAAAAAAATCAACATTAATGTAAAGGAAATAATGCATTTCTATCAATATATTTCTACATATATGCATATATAGTACAAAACTACACTACCTGACAAAAGTCTGGTCACCTTTCCATTTTTTAGGAACAGCAAATAATAACTTGACTTCTAGTTGATCATTTGGTATCAGTGGTGACTTATATAAGAGGCAAAGGCTTCTTGATTACGCTTATTTTACCACAATAAAATAGGATCATGCATTAATTTTGAATGATTTAATTAGGACAATAAGCTCTGACTTTGCTTCTCACTGAACAGAAATAATGTCCAGTATAGAATACAAAGTCCTGCTGCAGTGGAGACAGAATGAATATTGTGTCTGACTCCATCATGAGCTTGGAGGACTGCATCCATACATCTCTGCAATGACTCAAATCACTGATTAATAAAGTCATCTGGAATGGCAAAGAAACTGTTCCTGCAGGACTCCCAGAGTTCATCAAGACTCTTTGGATTAATCTTTAATGTCTCCTCCATTTTATCCCAGACATGCTCAATAATGTTTATGTCTGGTGACTGGGCAGGTCAATCCTGGAGCACCTTGACCTTCTTTGCTTTCAGGAGTTTTGATGTGGAGGCTGAAGTATGAGAAGGAGCGCTATCCTGCTGGAGAATTTGCCCTCTCCTGTGGTTTGTAATGTAATGGGCAGCACCAAACTTGACTAATTTCTGTGAGAATATTGGGTCTATGCGGGTTCTAATAGGTCTTCTGCAATATTTGTGATGATTGGGATGCAGTTCAAAAGGTGATTCAGATGATTCTCCCTAATACTGTCTAAAGTGATTTTGCTATTTTACGGTTAATTCTTTTAAAGTGATTCTGTGAATCTGTGTTTTAAGCAATCAGGTTAGAACACCTACATGTATGACGCAGTTAATGACGCTATGTAAGAGTATAATTGTTATTGATTGGTGATTGTAAGCAGAGTGGCCTAGGAAGTCATTGCGAGTGTTGAAGCTGGCTTCTGCTCATGAAACTGCAAACTATCTTCAGTAAACTTCATTTATTTATTTAAATCTCCGACTCCGGCTCTTCTACATCTGACAGACTGGTCATTCTTTGGGTTAAACTGTATACCATACCTACAATATTATCAGAACAAACCATTGTTATACAATAACTTGCCTAATTACCCTAACCTGCCTAGTTAACCTAATTAACCTAGTTAAGCCGTTAAATGTCACTTTAAGCTGTATAGAAGTGTCTTGAAAAATATCTAGTCTATTATTATTTACTGTCATAATGGCAAAGATAAAATAAATCAGTTATTAGAGATGAGTTATTAAAACTATTATATTTAGAAATGTGTTAAAGAAATCTGCTCTCCGTTAAACAGAAATTGAGGAAAAAGATATACAGGAGGGCTAATAATTCAGACTTTAGCTGTATATATATATGATTGTTGGACCGGGGCTGGTTTAGATGCATATGTTTGACAGCTGCTCTCTGAAACATCAGACTTTTCCTTCAAGTGTATCTCTGAAATGCAGAGTGATTTTCAGCGCTGCTTGTAATTTCTGTGTGAAACAATACCTCGTCCTGTGCTTAAAGTTCAGCGAGAACAAAGTGCTGATTGGAAAAGCATGCTGATCACAATGCACAGCTTCATTAAGAGCTCCAGCACATTGAGTCGCAGTCATTAATCAGCCTGGATTCTGCCTTTGAGAAGCGGATGAATAACAAACGTTTAATCAGCAGCGAACGCACGGCCCCAGAGGCTGCACGGCAAACGCCTGCAAATCTAATTTGTTTTATTTACTAAAACCACACGAGGAGATTTAGACACCACCTTGAAGAAGAGAGAGAGAGATGGAGAGACCGAGAAAGCTTTTTTCTTTAATCCTTTCTTAAATTTCTCAAATTTTCTCTTTATACTGTTCTACAAAGATATTATTATTATTATTCCATTTTTTAATATATTAAATTAATTAATTTTACTTCATTCATTTATTTTCCTTCGGCTTAGTCTATTCGTGAGGGGTCGCTTATTAATTTTGTTTATTTATTTATTTACCTATTTACTAATTATTTTACAGATCTATTCTTGTTTTCTTTTTATGTATTGCATAATTGTGTGGTTCATGAAATAACAATAACATTAATTGATAATGAAATTAAAGGAAGGAAGGAAGGAAGGAAGGAAGGAAGCAAAGAAAGTAATGGAAATTGCATTTTTGTCAATATAGATTAAACTAAAATAAAATCACATAAAAATAAAATAATAATGAATGAATAAATGCAAATTACATTTTTGTAAATAAATATTGAGCAGAAATTGAATGACAATAAAATGAAATGATGATAAAAATGAATAAATAATGAAATTAATGAATGCAAATGACATTTTTATAATTATGTATTGAGCTAAAATTAAAATACATTTAAATGCAATAATGAAATTAGATAATATTGAATGAATGAATGAATGAATGAATGAATTTTAAAAATTCCATAAGTTCCGTTGAGCTTACTGGTAAAGTCGTTCTGTAAATTTTCCGGATATTTACCAGGGGCATAATGAATGAAATTAAAAAGACTGAATGGAAATAACCTTTTTTTTTTTTTTTTTTTTTTAAATGAAATGACAATCCAGTTAAATAATGGAATAAATGAATGAATGAATGAATCAATCAATCAATCAATGGAAATTAAAATGACTGAATAAATGAATAAAATGATTTTTTTATTATATATTGATAAATATAAAATGAAATTGATTGATATATATTGATATAAAATGAAGTAACAATAAGATTAAAGAATAATGAAGTTAATGAATGGATTTTCTTATTTTATTGAAATTTCATTTTAGCTCAATTTTTAATTTAAAAATGCAATTTCCATTAATTCATTAAGAATGAATTAACGAAAATTGCATTTTTAAATTAAAAGTTGAGCTAAAATGAAATTTCAATAAAATAAGAAAATGAATGAATAAATAAATGAATGAATGAAATTGAAATGACCGAATGAATGGATAAAAATTGCATTTTGTAATTATATATTGTTCTAAAATGAAATGACAATAAGATTAAAGAATAATGAAGTGAATGAATGAATGAATGAATGAATGAATGAATGAATGAATGAATGACTGGATGGAAATTGCGTTTTTAAATTAAATATTGAGCTAAAATGAAATTTTTATAAAATAAGAAAATGAATGAATGAATAAATAAAATTGAAATGACCGAATGAATGGATGAAAACTGCATTTTGTAATTATATATTGATCTAAAATGAAAAGACAGTAAAATAATGAGTGAATGAGTGAATGAATGAATGGAAATCACATTTTGTAATTATATAGTTGCTAAAATGAAATGACTAAATTAAATGAAATAATCAATCAATCAATCAATCAATCAATCAATCAATCAATCAATTAATGAAAATTGTATTTTTGTAATTGTATACTAAACAGACAGTAACTAAATGACAAAATTAAATGAAATAATAATGGAATGACTAAATGAATACGACATTGTTATAAATATATATGGAGCTAAAATGAAATTACAATAAAATAAAATGATAATTCAATTAAATAATAAATGAAATTAATGAATTAATAAAATGAATGAATGAAATTGAAATGACTAAATAGAAATTACATTTTTGGAATTATATATTCAGCTAAAATAAAATGACAACACAATTAAATAACGAAATGAACGAATGAATAAATGAATGAATGAATGAATGAATGAATGGAAATTTAAATGACTAAATAAATAAACGAAATTACATTTTGTAATTATATATAGAGCTAAAATGAAATGACAACACAATTAAATAATCATGAAATGAATGAATGAATAAATGAATGGAAATTGCATTTTTGCAATTATATGTTGGCTCAAAAGAAATGACAAAAATTAAAAGAAAATAATGAATGAATGGCTGAAAATGGCAGTTTTGTAATTAAAAATTGAGCTAAAATGACATGAAAAAATCAAACACAAGTATGAATTTATTAAAATGACATGTTTGTAATTATGTATTTAGCTGAAACGAAATGACAATAAAATTAAATGATAATAAAATGAAATAATAATGAAATGAATGAATGAATGGAATTAAATGGAATTAGGATTTTGTATTTATATATTGCAATAGTAGTTTCCCAGGAAGTGACGATTATTATTCTCTTGAACAAACAGGACTACGGATCTTTACTGTGATATCCTAATTATGCCCATCAAGTACATTTGCAACCTTGGATGGAAACAGAGCTAGTGAGTCACAATGACAGCAGCTATTACATGAAGATGACCGCTACATACAGTTTAACAGCTTTAAAAAACACACACAATGGAGAAAATGATTGGGAAAAACATCCATACCAAAGACTGCAGGAGGAAACAGCGAGTGCTAACCTTGACGTTGGGTGTGTAGAGGTTTCTCAGGGAGGCTAAAGCAGCAGAAAGACCATCAGTACTGCAGCTGATCCACAAGGCCTGCAGAACACTAGACGACACGCCGATCTTCTTACTCAAACCCTTGAAAAGAGATAGATAAGCACACTGCGTCAAACACACACAGAGAGATAAACATTTATGTCTTTAAAGGTCCCGTGAAGTCCTTTGAAATGTTTATTTTTTTTAATCGATGTTTGACATAATCTCAACTGAAACATGAAGAGAGGGTGGGGCATATATTAGCTCCTCCCCTTTAAAAAAGCCAATAGCATTTTGTTTTTTTTATCACAGCTCTGCCAGTGGGGGTGACTGAACTCAATCTCATCAAATGAAAAGCAAATGAGAAGCGTCTTGAAGTGGGCGTTGTATGTCAGATACTAGAGAGATTTTGATTGGCCAGAAGATTTGTTGAGAAACTCGAGTATGACGAGATGTTAAAACAATTATTAATGAATTTAGGCATAAATGACAAAGCTTTGGATGTCTATATCAGGTTTATATCTTCTAAATGCAAATTCTGTCACTGTTTTAGAGCACACTAGCTTATTAATATCTTTAAGACTGATCTAAAAAAAACTTTATATTTATGTTTAACATTACTTTACAAAACAAGACATACAAGATGTTTGCATTTTAAAAGTGATATGTGTTTCGTGTCCGTCATATAAGTCTAATACCGATAAGAGAGAGGAGTGATATGAAGTTCAGACAGGCTGATAGAAAGAATGACAAAATTAAATGACGATGAGAAATTCAGAGACAAACACGACAGACAGACAGACAGACAGACAGAAACAACAATACAGACTGATAAAAAAGACAAACAGAGGGAAAGACAAAAAGACAGTCAGACATGTGGACAACTTAAAGACAGACAGATAAACCGATACATAGAACGACAGACAAAAAAAAAACAGAAAATCAAAAAGAATGACAGATAGACAGAATGAAAGACAGACTAATACGAAAAAACAGACCAAAAAGAAAGACAGACAAAGAGACATGCATACAGAATGAGAGACAGACAGGCAAATTGAATGACAGACATACGGACAGATAGAATGACAGACAGAATGAAAGACAGACAAATACAGAGCAGACCAAAATAGAAAGACAGACAGACAGACAGACAGACAGACAGACAGACAGACAGACAGACAGACAGACAGACAGACAGAAAAATAGAATGACAGACAGAGAGACAGATAGACAGACATACAAATAGAACGACAGACATACATACATACATACAAACATACATACATAATGAGACAGAAAGAATGACAGACAGACAGATAAACAAATAGAATAACAGACAGCCACACATTATGACAGCCAGAACAACAAACAGACATACAGAATGACAGACAAACAGACAGAATGACAGATGATCAGACAGACAGACAGACAAATAGAATGACAGACAAACATAATAACAGACAGACATAATAACAGAAAGACATAACAGACAGACAGAATGACAAAAACAGACAGACAGACAAATAGAATGACAAAGAGACATACATAATGACAGACAGACAAAAGGAAACAATGACAGGCAGAACGACAGAGAAATAGAATGACAGACAGACATGCAGAATGGCAGACAGACAAACAGACAATTAGAACGACAGACAGACAGACAGAAATACATAATGACAGACAGAAAGAATGACAGACAGACAAATAGAATGACAGACAGATGGACAGACAGACAAATAGATTGACAGAAACTCAGATAAACAAGTAGAATAGCAGAGACATATTGACAGACAGAAAGAAAGAATGACAGGCAGAACGACATAGAAATAGAACGACAGACATACATAATAACAGACAGACAGATAGACATACAGACAGTATGACAGAAACAGACAGACAGACAGACAGACAAATAGATTGACAAACAGACATACATAATGACATACAGAAAGACAGATAGACAGAATCACAGGCAAAAGGAAACAATGACAGACAGAAAGACAGACAAATGGACAGACGAACAGACATACAAATAGAATGACAGACAGCCACACATAATGACAGATAGAAAGAAAGACAGACAGACAGAACGACAGACAGACATACAGAATGACAGACAAACAGACAGAATGGCAGATGATCAGACAAACAAACAGACAAGACAGACAGACAGAATGACAGACAGATTTACAGAATGACAGACAAACAGACGGAATGGCAGATGATCAGACAGACAGACAGACAGACAGAATGACTGACTGACAGAATGACCGACAGAGAGAATGAAAGACATAATGATAGCCAGACAGACAGAGATTGAATGACAGACATTTAGAATGAAAGACAGACAGAATGGCAGACAGACGACAAATAGAAAGGAAGACAAATAGAATGGCAGACGGACAGACAGAATGACAGACATACAGAATGACAGCCAGACAGATAGATCGAATGACAGACAGACATTCAGAGTGAAAGACAGACAGACACCTTGAAGATGTGTGCTTTCAGGATGTGATGTCCCAACTCCATCGTCTGCTGTCTGTTTAACTTTCCCTCCTGCCTCGACAACATGAAGGCCATCAGTGCGTGTCCACTCCTGCACACATACACACACGCAGACGCACGTAAATACATGTCCCACAGCACTCCTCATCTGCCTTAAAACACACTAAAATAGAGCTGAAGATCTGTGCCCGAACACGACTTCACCCGACGGGCTTAATTTCTATCATTTTAGACGGGGTCCAGTCGGGCCAGGCTTGCGCAGTGAATGTGATGCATTTCGATTAGCGTGGGAAAGGAATCAAATCATTAGTTACAACATTAAAACCCATCCCTGCAAAGGTGAAACAAATGATGACGGAGAAGTCAAAGAGAGCGAATTTTGACTGCGGTCAGGCCAGCCGCCAGTCCAAAAAGAATGGCCATTCTACCCTTTCTCGTTTTTGGGACCCTTTCGAAAGGGTGCCGAAAAAGTGGTACGGTTTGGTACGCTTATTGACAGTGGAAACGGCCATAAAAGCGTACAAAACCGAACAGTACCGTACCACTCAGTGGAAACGGGCCATGTGAGAATCAGCTTTCCTCCTATTTGGTGCATGACAAAACTGAAAATTCTGTGCGACTGCCACAAGGGGGCGTATTCCAACCGTCGTGTCAGAATGTCATGTGCAGTCGAAAGTCGGCTTCAGTTTCTTTGCAAGTGAAATTAATGAATCGGATAAGGGAGACATCCAAAATATGTACTGTTGGTGTGCCTTTAGGAACAAGGTCGGGAAACACTGCCCTATAGGACTCTAGAGTTGTGTCATATAAAATCGGATTTTCAGACACTGTGAGAATCAGCTTTTCTCCTATTTGGTGCATGACAAAACTGAAAATTCTGTGTGATGGCAACAAGGGGGCGTATTCCAACAGTTGTGTCCGAACGTCATGTGCAGTGGAAAGGCGGCTTCAGTTTCTTTGCAAGTTTCTGTTTACAGGCGCTCAGTGGCTTTATCAAACCAGTCTGAAGTGCTGCTTCTCACATTTTTATAAGCAAATACGCACTTGGTGTGAATGAACCCTTCCTGTGAGAACAGCAGTACCGAACACAAGAGCCTTTTCAAGTCGCTTTCTGCCTTTCTAAATATGCCACATTTGAATGCAAAACCAACTCAAATTAATTTGAGGTCAAATCTCCTAATCTGCGAGATCAAATGAGCTCCTCTTGAGGTAAATCATGGCCTGCGAGCTCTGTATAAAGCGGCATTTGATGCAAGGCAGTGAAAGCGCTCTGTGTTTGCTCCGTCTGGATCGGCGCCCCTGTTAAACACAGGAGAAGGCAGGAATAGACGGCTTTAGTGTTCCCCGGCTCTCGCTGGTGTTAATTAACCCAGCTTCATTAAAAGGCCACGCATGAATGCCGCCGCTTTGATCAGCTCTACATCTCCTCTCCATTAAACTGCTTTCTTTTCTCCCTCTTTCAACAGGGAACTTTTCTACAAGTCCCTCAGTTTCAGAGCCAGTATTTCTAGTCTGGACCTGGAGAGAGTTCAGCCGATCAATGGGACACCGATGGGCCAATCAGAGATTCAACAGACCACAAAAGGCGGACAGGAAGCAGACAGAATCCCAATTATAGCCAAACTGCTAAAACTGCAGTCTAGAGCTGCGTCCCAAATCGCACACTTATGCACTATTCTACGCCATTTTGTAGTATAAACAGTGTAAGTAGTGTGTTCACACTGAAAACTCTAAAAATAATAAGTGCACTTTAATTACCCGGATGATGCAATCAATCAGCCGCTAAAATGAAGTGTGTAATGATGAACACTTCACGCACTCAACGACCGCAGGTTTGCTAACGTAGCGGAAGGGGCGGAGCTATCGGACGCACATATTGAATAACTTTATTTATTCTGGATGGTGAACGCAAAATTCTCCTACGAGAGTGATTATAGCGCCTCCCGATGGTGAATGCGGTTACATTCACGGCAGATATTATTTGGTAGTTCAGTCGTTAATTTCACTGATTTGGCGACCGTCAAGTCAAACGTCATCAAGGAAACGGAATGAATTTCCGCTTAGTAAAAAAACATTAGTGTGCCATTTGGGACGCCACTACATACATACACTATCCTGTTGAGTGTGTAAGTGCATAAGTACATAGTGCATGAGTGCATAGTGTTTAGTGTGCCATTTGGGACGCAGCTTAGGGCCGCACAATATATCGTTTCAGCATCCATATCGCAATTTGTGCACCAGTAATAGTCAATGTTGCGTCCGCATTATGGTTGATCAAACATCATTCAAGACACATTGGATTTGTGTAGTCACTGCTGTGTTTAAAGTGAAACTAAGCTCATTTTAAAGGTTCAGGACACCCTGGAGAACCTTTTTTTTTTATTAACAGATTTGTGTGTGTTGAGCATCAGTTAAGGGAATGTTAGCAGCTGTCAGCTTTAATTGTGGGGAAAACTGGATAATTTTGAGCTTTTGTCAGCTAATTTCAGCTTCCGGGTTTAAAATGATTTTTGGGGCGGGATCAAAATTGGCGACGAAGCGCAGTACTGCAAGTGCAATGATGACACGTCAGTTTCTCATTATTATTCATAGCGGAGTTTCTTATCCTATGAGAAGAGCCGGCTGCTTAATTATTCATGAGACCTGCCAGACCTGCCAGAGTCAAGCCCGAGCTGTGAGACATGGACCCACGGCACAAAGCATTTAGCCGTTTATGAAGGCTCATATGCGTTTGTTTCCATGATCCACGCGGTTTGTTGCATGTTTTTCCCCGCGATCTTGTCAGGGCCGATCATACAGCAAAGCTGTGTGTGCTGCAAGCATTTTTGTCGGGAGAGCAGCACGAGAATTAGAGAATGGCGGACGCTGTCTTTTATCAGGAGTTCGTTCACATTCAGACACATCACTGTGCTGCTGTGTTCGCCTAAATCCTCCAGATTACCAGCAGGGCTAATGGTTAAAATAGACAGGTCAGGAGACCTGCTGCACTGAGTCTGCTGGATACGGGGATTGAGGGAGAAGTCCTTATTTATGGTGTTTATATGAACACACTTATCTTTATAATGATATAAATTGTGGTTATGTGTATGTGAAATTGCGAATAACAAATGTAGCAGGGCATTAAATCACTGTTAATTTCTTTGCATTTTATCTTTGTAAACTATAAACTCATGCGTCTCCTCACGGTTTGTGTCTCATTTTGTAAGCTAACTGACAACAAAGTTGTTCGCTCACCTTCTCCCCTGCTGGCTACGCCCACTCCTGCCCGATGCTTGCAGAGCTCCATGCCCATTAATCATGCATCTTTTGAAAAAATTCTGAAGTAGACTTTAACCGAAAGTGGGGGGTGTCATGACCAATAAAAGTTTATTTTTTTACCATTTTTTAAAATTCATTCAACCAAATTAATGGATCTGGCAGGAGCTCGTTTAGGTAGTTTTGTGAGGATAAAAGCCTTTGAATATTTTTCCAGACACATTTAGCTGCTAGAAGTTAGTCAGATCACATTTATATGTTCTTCTTAATGCCAACTGTGTAAATAATCATCGATGAGATGCTTATGATAAGCCGTTGTTTGTTTACCTTCCAAGCTTTGCGTGTGCCTGTGAAACAGCCTGTGAGCGCCTGCACACGCACATATTATGAACATCTCGACATGTGAAAGTGATCCTGCGAAAGTTGTTCACAATATTGATCATTCACAGAGTTTGTAATTTAGTCAAATGTTTACAAACACAAGCGCAGCCGTTTAGAGCTCATTTCTGGTTAATGATGTCAGAATTTACCGGTATTTTGGAATGGATGTGTGAATGAAAAATTCCGTAACGTCCTCGCCTGTGTGAACAGCGCTTTTTTGAATATACCGGTAAAGTCGTTCCGGAAATTTTGCGCTTTTTTGAATATACCGGTAAAGTAGTTCCGGAAATTTTCCGGATATTTACCGGTATCACCGTGTGAAAAGGGCTAGTGATACTGGTAAATATCCGGAAAATTTCCGGAACTACTTTACCGGTATATTCAAAAAAGCGCTGTTCACACAGGCGAGGACGTTACGGAATTTTTCCGGAAAAGAGCATTCACACATCCATCGCAAAATGCCGGTAAATTCTGACATCATTCACCACAAATGAGCTCTAAACGGCTGCGCTTGTGTTTGTAAACATTTGACTACATTACAAACTCTTTGGATGGATCAGTATGAAAACATATAGAGGAACGCTTTCGCATGTTGAGATGTTCATGATATGTCAAAAGCTTGAAGGTAAACAAACAACGGATTATCATAAATATTTTATCGATAATTATTTACACAGTTGGCATTAAGAAGGAACATAGAAACATCTGACTAACATCTAGCAGCTAAAAGTGTCTGGAAAAATATTCAAAGGCTTTTATTCTCACAAACTGTGCGCACGTGAATGCGCCTGACTGTTCTGATTGGCTAAAGCAGACATTTCTCGTCAGCACGTTCTAGATGTGCATGCGCTCTTTCCGGCAATCTTCCTTCTGCATTCACACATCGCAGCATTCCGACAAATTACCGGTAATGTTACAACTTCTCTTTCGGAAAATAGCCAGAACGAATTTACCGGTATTTTCAAAAAGGGCCTGTTCACACATACAACCTTTCCGGAAAGGTCTGTATGTGTGAAAGGGGCTATTGTTGCAAGTTTAATGACGTACAAAACTGAATGACTCAATAAAACTGATCTGCCTGTTTACATGATAGTCACATTTATATCTGATTTATTTCCACATTTGAAGAGGGTCTGAAACCGATCTCTAAATATCTGTGTTACGTGGGTCTGTGTTATTTAATCTATTTATTGCTGGTTTGTGCTTCGAGTTCTAGGAGGATTGTTTCACCCGGCTTATCCAGGATTGGATGATGCCCGTGACGTCACTGGGGATTCCCACTGTATAAGGCTGACAGCAATGGCGTCTCTGTCTCTTTCTCTATCTTGCAGTCTCTCGCCCTCCCTCAGCTCGGTGGTGGCTTGCGCTCAGGCGGTCTGGCTGATGGTGCTCCGCAAGCCAGGCGATCATCTAGATGCCGCTCAATTAAGTGTTTTGTTCATGTCAATCTTTTGATTCTTAGTTCGTAATGTGTTAACTAGTTTGTTTACTTTGATACTTTGTTTTGTAGCAGGTAGGGGTTTATTTTTCATAGTCACGTTTTGTTATTTATTTAGTTTAGCGAAGGTAAGCAGTGGCCCGGAAGACTCACCTATTTTTTATTCCTTTTCACGGGAGTTAGGTAAGATCTGTCCATTTAAAACAGTTTAGTCAGAGACCTGTTTACCTTAGCTGCCCTACCTGTCTACTTGATTTTTGTTAATGTTTTGTCTTTTGAAAACTTATGATTTACGGAAAATTAAACGTATTGACGGAACGTCAATTTCACAATTCAAACGTCTGTGTCTTCCATATGTTCGGCTCAAACCTTGATTGTTGTTGTTATTCGAGCCAGTTTTGAGTTTGGGCCGTAACAATCTGAATGCATGCGTTTTTTTTTTTTTTTTTTTTCGTGTTAACACGGTCATAAAACAGATTCGATCTGTGTCACATATGAGCAAATAATCAGAATTGGGTCGCATTTACCTGGCAGTGTAAACGGACCCTTGGAGATGCTAATAAGCTAATCTAATTCAATTATTTATGCTAAGCTAAGCTAAACGTGCTCCTTCCAGACCCAGAGATCAGCTAAATGGATTCAAACATGGTAACACAACTGTAGCTGGAAGATGAGCCCATTTCCCTTTATTAATCTGGGGTCGCCACAGCGGAATTAACCACCACTTTATCAAGCATATGTTTTGACGCAGCGGATGCCCTTCCAGGTGCAACCAATCACTGGGAAATATCCATACAATCTCATACACACTCAAACACTACTGACAATTTAGCCCACCAATTCACCTATACCGCATGTCTTTGGACTTGTGGGGAAAACCGGAGCACCCGGAGGAAACCCACGCCAACACAGAAACGCCACCTGATCCAGTGGGGCCTCAAACCAGCGACCTTCTAGCTGTGAGGCAATTGGGCTACCCACCGCGCCACCGTGTCGGCTGTCATTATTATTAGTTTATAATAATAAAAAAAGTGTTTTAAAATGATGGCTAAAGTTACAAAACACAACATTTTACTTAAAACATTTACAAAAAATATTGAACTTCATGAATAATTATAACTCATTTCAACTTTTAAGTCTTAAAACTGTTTTAAAGTGATTTAACTCTCAGATAAGGCTACATCTGGTAAGATTCGCCCAGTAACATCTGACTGTTATCAAAGCTGTGCTGGTTATATATTTCGACGTAATTAAATAAGAGGAAACGGGATGTTGCAGAGGCATTTTAAATCAGCCCTGGCTTTCATCATCATCAAGGAGATCAAGATATTTCATTAGCGGCTGTGAAGACAGATCTGGCGTCTCACACACACACACAGCAGAATAATCAGCCTGTGTTCAATCTCACACACTCCTGTTCCTGTTTTAATGAAGCCAGTAAATTCAGCTGTGTGTCCGCAGATCAACACAGATGAAAGACAGCAACATTCGCAGCTAAATATCAAATATGTGAATGAAGTCAGAGTGTTTTGCTTTGGCATTAAAGGCGCTTCGGTGTGCTTCTTCCACTGTGATGAATGGAGCTAGAAACTCTGAATTCACTGCAGGACTCCAGAGTGTTAACAGAGCTGTCAAAGTAAAGACGTACATTAAGTGTGTGTATTGTGTATTTATTTTATAAACCGCGTTTACTGTGTAGGGCCATACACCCAAAGCGCTTCAGTTATGAGCGCATATCTATCTATCTATCTATCTATCTATCTATCTATCTATCTATCTATCTATCTGTCTGTCTGTCTGTCTGTCTGTCTGTCTGTCCGTCCGTCCATCCGTCCGTCCGTCCGTCCGTCTATCTCTCTGTCTGTCTGTCTGTCTGTCTGTCTGTGTGTGTGTGTGTGTGTGTGTGTATATATATATATAGTTGAAGCCATTATTGAAGAATTATTAGCCCCCCCTTTTGATTTTTTTTCTTTTTTTAAATATTTTCTCAATGATGTTTAACAGAGCAAGGAAATTTTCACAGTATGTCTAATAATATTTTTTCTTCTGGAGAAAGTCTTATTTGTTTTATTTCATTTAGAATAAAAGCAGTTTTTAATTTTTTAAACACCATTTTAAGGTCAATATTATTAGCCCCTCTAAGCTAGTTTTTCCCCCGACAGTCTACAGAAAAAAAAAACACTGTTATACAATAACTTGCCTAATTACCCTAACCTGCCTAGTTAATCTAATTAACCTAGTTAAGCCTTTAAATGTCACTTTAAGCTGTATAGACATGTCTTGAAGAATATCTAGTCAAATATTATTTACAGTCATCATGGCAAAGTTAAAATAAATCAGTTATTAGAAATGAGTAATTAAAACTATTATGATTAGAAATGTGTTGAAGAAATCTGCTCTCCAATAAACAGAAATTGGGGGCAAAAATAAACAGTGGGGCTAGTGTGTGTGTGTGTGTGTGTGTGTGTGTGTGTGTGTGTGTGTATGTATATATATACAGTTGAAGTCAGAATTATGAGCCCTTTTTGAATTTTTTTTTCTTTTTTAAAAATTTCCCAAATGATGTTTGACGGAGCAAGGAAATTTTCACAGTATGTCTGATAATATTTTTTCTTATAGAAAAAGTCTTATTTGTTTTATTTCAGCTAGAATAAAAGCAGTTTAGAATTTTTAAAAAACTATTTTTGGGACAAAATTTTTAGCCCCTTTAAGCTAAAAACCTTTAACCTTTTAATTTTTTTTTCCGATAGTCTACAGAACAAACCATCGGTATACAATAACTTGCCTAATTACCCTAATCTGCCTAGTTCACCTTATTAACCTAGTTAAGCCTTTAAATGTCACTTTAAGCTGTACTGAAGTGTCTTGAAAAATTTCTAGTCAAATATTATTTACTGTCATCATGGCAAAGATAAAATAAATCAGTTATTAGAAATTGATTTTTAAAACTATTATGCTTAGAAATGTGATGAAACAATCTTCCTCCATTAAACAGAATTTGGGCTAAAAAATAAACAGGGGCGCTAATAATTCTGACTTCAACTGTATGTATAACTTTTACTAATAATATATATGAACTTTTTTTATATATATTAACATTAACGTTTTTGATCACCAGCCACTGTGGCTAGTAGATTTTCAACATTACTAACCACTTGCCATATTCACTAGCCACAATTTTGTGGCTTGGAAAATAGATTTTGTATTAATAAATGTGACTTTGACATGCTAAAATGACATGATTTAGATGTTGTGTTGTCCACATGCCTCCTCATTTATTTCACTGTCTGAGTGTGTTGTGTGTGAGCTAGCTCACTGTGCATGAGCAAATGGGTTGTGTCGCATTGCAATTGGTTTTTATGTCACATGACTTGTTTAGGGCTCAAAATTAAGGATTTACCAAATTTATCTCTGACCACACCAAAAAGAAATAATTATTTCTTATAGCAACTCATTTTAAATGTGTCAAAACAAGCAAATATATAGCTGTATACATGCACTTTTATTAAAAACATACCACGAGTGATACTGAAAGGAGATCACGTGCCTGAGAATAATTCAAACGAAACCACTGACTGCTGCTGCTGCTTACAAAAGGTGTGCTGCTTACACGAGCATCGCTTTTTGTCTAGTCTATTTCAAAGAGAACCGCTCGCACCAGTTGCGCTTCCTCCACACAATGTTGTTTCACGCAAGTAAACGGGAGCGCGCACGCTTTTTAACAGAAGAATCACGTCACCTGTGCGCACGAGTAATTATCCTCTCATAAGGTATTCACCTGCTTTTGCTCGTGCAAACACAGTTATTTTTGTCAGTCGTGCTGCTTCTCGATTCAAAGATCACATTTGCACGCATAATGAGCCATCCTTATTGTCGAACCCTGCTTTAAGAAGAAGACTACAATGCAAAAATGATTTTCAACCTGCCAAAGTGGCTATTGGAGGTGTTTGTCTAACCCGCCAAAGCTGAAATCTACCTGCACTTGGCGAGTTGGCGGGTGTTAATGTAAAGCCCTGTATATATATATATATATGTATATATATATATATATATATATATATATATATATATACATACATACATACATACAGAGTTGATACCAGAATAAATAACTAAATAAATAAATCCTGAGATCATACATGGCCCTGGGGTATAAATAATTTCAGACTTGACTGTATTTACTAAGCATAGTCTTACATTGTGTCAAGTATGGACTTTAGACCTGGTATGAAACTCTGCATCTAGTCCCCAGTTATTCCGTCTGATAATCAGTACTCAGTGATTCTCACCTGGGGTCACACAGGAAGTCTGAACTCTCTCCATCAGCTCTCCACACCAGCCATTCTCTGAAGGACGGATGGCAGAACATGCGTGTTTTATCCCTCCGTCTGATCAGGAAACAGGACAGCGTCTCCATCCTCTGCTGGAAGTCGTCCCACTCCAGCTCCCCCCTCTGGCTGCCAGCGTTCAGCGCCTGAAACAGCTGCTCATCCGTCAGCGGGTGCAGAGACGCCAGCGCCACGTTCAGGATGGGGACGGCCCGCTCAAACGCCGAGTTACTCAGAAACTTCATGTTGCACTGCAGCAGATAGAGCTCAGAGAGAGACACGGGCACTACTTTATAGCTGGCGCTCTTGATGACCAGGTGACCCCTTTCGAAAAGGTCAAGGGTCAGCTTGAGGTACAGATAGGAGCCCTGGCTGCGGGAGATCAGGTGCGAGCTGACTTTGCTGACGATGACGGGATCTGATTTGCCGTTGAGGGAGATGTTGCTGAGAATGTTCTGGCTGCCACTGATGCGCTGCTGGATGTAGGCGTTGAGGTCGGTCCCGATCTCCTGGTTGTCCGGGAAGTCATCCAGACTGATTTTGGAGAACGGCATCAGGCTGGTGATCTCCTGAAACAAACAAAAAACAATAATAAGAAGAGATGGGGAAGTTAAAGTCCACTATGATGGTGTTTCTCAACCACATTCCTTGAGAATGACCAGCACTGCATGTTTTGGATGTCTCCTTAGTCTCTCACACCCATAACAGGTCTCTCAGTCTCTGCTAATGAGCTGATGATCTGAATCAGGCGTGTTTGATTAAGGAGACAAGGAAAATGTGCAGAGCTGGTGATCCTCCAGGATTGTGGTTGAGAAACACTGCACTACGATTCGTTCGTTCATTTTCCTTCTGCCTAGTCCCTTTATTCATCAGGGATCGCCACAGCAGAATGAACCGTCAACTTATCCAGCATATGTTTTACACAGCGGATGCCCCTTCAGGCTGCAACCCAGTACTGGGAAAAACCCAAACACTCTCACATTCACACAAATACTGCACACTACAGTCAGTTTAGTTTATTCAATTCCCCTGTACTGCATGTGTTTGGACTGTGGGGGAAAGCATCCGGAGGAAACCCACACCAAACTCCACACAGAAATGGCTCAGCCGGGACTTGAACCAGCAACCTTGTTGCTGTGAGGCGACTGTGCTAACAACTACACCACCGTGCTGCCCCCTGCATTATGATATATTTTAAACTTTAGTTGATGTGTAATGTAGTTGTGTGAACATATTTGATGTAAGAGAATGTCGGGCAACGAGACAAAGTTGAGAATCCTTCAACTTTATGCAAATGAAGAGCAACTTTCTTGAGCGACAGCCAATAGGACCACCAGTAGAGCTCATGGGATCCTCCATGGAACCAAATGAGTGTACCGAGACCTGCTTGAAGAGGTGGTCTCGGTACGCTTTCAAACGAACCCTGGAGCGGTTTGTTTGTGGTGAGAATATGATTCGTACTAAAACAGGTCCAACCGCAAAAAGTACTGCGCCTTTTGGACTAATCCAGCTGCCGTAGGCCGATGCGCTGTGCATTATGGGATATGGAGGAAAAATATTTGTTGACAGCGCTTTACCAACAGAGAGAGAGAGGGGAAGACATTACCTGATGGATCGTTGGTAATATTTCCGCAAGATGAGCATGTCGCAGTTTAGCTAAATTAATTCACGCCTCCTCCTGAAGTGACGAGCGATGCATTAAACACTGTTTTCCAGCCGCGGCCGTGCTTCATTCTCGAAATGTATAGTTTGTCTAAAGCAGGGATAGAATCAGTCAGCGCAGTCGTCCCTCCAGAGTAAAAACAACATTTTGTGTCTGCAGATTTTGTTTACTTGTGGGAGTTCATTGGCATTTTCCCACATGTGAATTCTGACCAATCAATAAGCAGTTTAGGAAATCAATTCAACAACATCTGGCCAATGAGAGACGTGGATTTTGTCAGATTAAGGGTGTCACAATCCTCCAAATCCTCGATTCGATTACATTTTTGATTCTAAAGGCACGATTCGATTTGATTTTCAATTATGTATAATGAATTAATTAATGACCAATTAATTATTTGTAGCCTACCGTTTAAACTGACCTGCATGGTCTTTGTTTTACCCATAAACAAATCATACAGTAAATGAATAAAGGTAAGTTACACACATAATTACCACCTGTCAATCACTTTTTCTGCGGGACTCGTGAATAGGCAGTGATCTGTGTCGTTATAATGGCGTCGGTAAAAAAGACGCACAACCAACAGGAACCAGCCAACAGTGTCTGAGGTGTTCGCTAAAATGACTAAGTACAAGTGAGTGAAAGATTGAAGCAGTCCTCTGACTGCCTGCACCTGCTGTCTCGAGCGCATGGCTGTGAGTGCGTCTGTGTCTGTGTGGTCACATGATGTGCATTTCCAGAGGTAGTGAGGAAGGAGGGCTGCTCAGAAATGCTACACGCCACTGTGGATGTCAAATCGTTGTCGTTCTAAAATACCATTTAAAAACAAAGACAGTGTAAACAGGGCCTGAGTGTGTACTTTTCGCCAGCGGATTTGCAACGGGGGCAGGCGGAGGATCGCGATGCTGGTGTTGTCTATCGGACGAACCGTACGTAATACGTACATAGCAGAGCTTGCAAAACTGTGTTTTTTTTGTCGACAACACGAACGTTGTCAACATAACTCACTGGAAATCCAAAATGCTTATTACACACCGCCGACTTCATTAAAAGAGGAGAGGGTTTAAGCTCTGTCGACGGGTCTCCTGCTTCTGCAGTTTAACAAGCTCTTCAACAAGCCTGTTTTTTTCCCGCATGGCAAGCCAAGCTGACGTGACATGGGGGCGTGGCAGCATCGACGATTCTATTTTTTGATTCAATAATCGAAATTGAGCATAAATTTTGATCGATTTCGATTAAAAATCGAAATCGTGACACCCCTATGTCAGATGACTGCATTTTGGTTCTTTTCAACTGGTTCAGACCAAAGCCAGCAGTGTGGTGTGAAAACGACCCAAAGTCAGCAGAAAATGCAACAATGTATCATTTATTACCCTTGGTCTGGACCAAATAAAGTGAACTACAGATGTGAAAACACCCTGAATAACAATAGAAAATTGTTCTGTCAACATCAACATGAACAGGTGTTCATGAGTAGTTAAGGATGAGTTAATAGTGATGTTCCCCTCCAAGTAAAGTCATTACTAATTTATTCATTAACAGCTCATGAGTTCATGTTGGTTACATTTAGTTTAAACTTAAATGTACTAACAAGTAATTAAGGTAGTCATTATTTACACATGAACTCATGTGAGTCATGCAGTAGTTAAAGTTGATTCATGATTCGTGCATACCTTAACTCATCATTAATTCATAATAAAGTAATGTTTCATTTACATATTAATACATCATTATTTATGTACTGTTATTGTAAAGTGTTACCCACAGATCTGCGTTTGCAGCAGGTCGCCACCCAGAGCGACAGGCGGCTACAAAGCCACTGCTAGCATGAATGATCATGGTTTGTTTACATTATTGAATTGCACCATTTATTTTTACATTTTCAGCCAAAAATTACTAATTTTGATGCCATTTTCCAAACCGTATGGCATTATTTGCTTCAATTCTTGTATTTTGCTATAAAAATGCACAGAAAGCATGTCAACTTTTGAGTGAAGACTTCAAAAATGACGCAAACAGATAAAAGTTACACACAGAAATTAATCAAAGTTTTTTTTTTGCTGAAGTTTTAAAGATCTCCTCTATTCCTACATCTCCATCTGAACACTGCTGAGGTAAAACCGGGAGCGTAGATACAGAGGGAAATATTCATCAGTCGTCAGGATAAACATGAACGTCTCTCTCATGAACGTCTGTCATCCTTCTCTTTCTGGAAACCTCTGCTGCCCGCTGACTGTGCACTGAATTATGGGTAAACTTGAAAAGAGCTCCACCCTGCAGAGTCACAATCATACGAGACGACAAATCTAAATCTACAGCTCACTGTGACAGAAACACAGCTCCACACGTACAGACACTCTTCAATCTCTGATCTAACACATACTGTATCAAACACTGGATGATTCTGCTCTGCTAGTCAAGCTCTACTGTTCAAGCTGTCAGTCACACATACACACACACTCCTCCAGTCTGTATGGAGGGTCAGTGTTTCTCATTAGAGCCACGAGATTCTCCTGTCCGCAGAGAGGCTGATCTGGAGTCAGTCTGAAACACAACCCTGAGGCTGACAGAAACAGCTCACTCCATCTCTCCACCAGACTAAACAACATCTTATATTGTGGAGGAAGACAGAGAAGACTTCATATAACCTTGAAGAAAAGTGTCAGTTATAAAGCCGCATCTTTCTTTCTTTCTTTCTTTCTTTCTTTCTTTCTTTCTTTCTTTCTTTCTTTCTTTCTTTCTTTCTTTCTTTCTTTCTTTCTTTCTTTCTTTCTTGCTTGCTTGCTTGCTTGCTTGCTTGCTTGCTTGCTTGCTTGCTTGCTTGCTTGCTTTCTTTCTATCTATCTACCCATCCATCCATCCATCTCTCCGTTCTTCCATCCATCTATCTGTTCGTCAATCCGTACATCACTCTCGTTCATCACTATCTATCTATCTATCTATCTATCTATCTATCTATCTATCTATCTATCTATCTATCTATCTATCTATCTACCTATCTACCTATCTATCTATCTATCTATCTATCTATCTATCTGTCTGTCTATCTATCTATCTATCTATCTATCTATCTATCTATCTATCTATCTATCCATCCATATGTCCGTCCGTTCTCCATCCATCCGTACGTCATTCCGTACATCTCTCTCTATCCATCCATCCATCCATCCATCCATCCATCCATCCATCCATCTATCTATCTATCTATCTATCTATCTATCTATCTATCTATCTATCTATCTATCTATCTATCTATCTATCTATCATGTTCATCTGTCTGACCATCCATCTATCCATCCATCCATATGTCCGTCCGTCCGTCCATCCATCCTTCCATCTCTCCATTTTTTAATCCATCTGTCTGTCCGTCCATCTCTCTTTCTCTCTCCATCCATGTATCTATCCATCCAACCAACCATCTATCCATCCGTCCGTCCCTCCCTCTATCTCTCCATCCATCTTTCATCCATCTATCCATCCATCCGTCTCTCCAAATATCTATCTGTTCATCTCTCCATCCAGTTATCTATCCATCCATATGTCCGTCTGTCTCTCTCTCCATCAATCCATTTCCTCTATATTGTAAAATTTAAATTAATATATTCACAGCAAAATACTTTGAAGACTTTGAATAGAAATGCAAATTTGGCATCAACACAAACACACATTTTACAAGTGAATAATGAGCCATATTCCAAATATCATTGGAATGTATTATTAGCATCAGAACAGAATCGGCATCAATCATATCTCTAAAATATCAGTACAAATTCATATCTCACCAGCAGGTTTGTCCTGACAGTGACGATCAGTTTCAGCCAGCTGGGGAATTTGGGGATGATTTTGGTGATGAAGGAGGCCACAGTGTCTCCATAGTCTGGTTTGTGAAACTCTGCCTCATTCAACCCATCAACCAGGATAATGCAGTCTTCCTCCGGGATCTTCCTCTCTGGTGAATAAAATAAAAAAACACACTGAATTACAATAACAGCAGCATTCAGTAACCAGGATTATATGCTTAATGTCAAACTGAATGGCTGATTTCACAATTAACACTCACACAGGTGAATGGGTTTGACAAACCACCTGTGTAAACACTCTTCTCTCCATATGCACCGGACACTTGACTTAAATTCCATGGATTTGGAGACTTAGGATGTTCTTAGGATATGTTAGTCTAGTAAAGTGGGCTCTATTACCATATGTAATTAACATAGAAAATGTTAGAGCCTTTGACTCCAATCATCTGACCCCTCTCTGAAATATTATAAACAATCCCAGCTCCCAAAAACCAGGACCCCTTCTCCTCCCCACCACGCCACATTAAAACCTCAAACCATTATGTAACAATAAGTGTGCCTAACACAGGTGAGTGGTCCTGACAAACCACCTGTAGAAACATTCTCTCCATATGCAGCGGACACTTGACTTAAACTCCATAGACTTGTAGACTTAGGATGGTCTTAGGATTTGTTAGTCTAGTAAAGTGGGCTTTAATACCATATGTAACTAACATATAAGGTGTTATAGCCTTTGACTCCAATCAACCCCCCCCCCCCCCCCCCCCCCTAAAATTTTAAAAACAATCCCAGCTCCCAAAAACAAGGACCCCTTTCCACCCCCACCACACCACATGAAAACCTCAAAACAATATGTAATACTGAGTATGCCTAACACAGGTGAGTGGGCCTGACAAACCACCTGTAGAAACACTGTCTCTTCATATGCACCGGAAACTTGACTTAAACTCCATGGATTTGGAGACATAGGATGGTCTAAGGATATCTTAGTCCAGTAAAGTGGGCTTTAACACCATATGTAACTAACATAGAAGGTGTTAGAGCCTTCAACTCCAATCATCTGACCCCCCTCTGAAATATTATAAACAACCCCAGCTCCCAAAAACCAAGACCCCCTTTCCTCACCCCCATGCCACATGAAAATCTCAAAATATGCCACAGCCATATTATTCTGCAGCCCAAGACTGAGTATTCACTGAAGCTAAGCAGGGCTGAGCCTGGTCAGTACCTGGATGGGAGACCACATGGGAATACTAGGTTGCTGTTGGAAGTAGTGTTAGTGAGGCCAGCAGGGGGTACTCAACCTAAGAGAGTCCTAATGCCCAAGTATAGTGAAGGGGACACTATACTGTCAGTGAGTGCTGTCTTTCGAATGAGACGTTAAATCGAGGTCCTGACTCTCTGTGGTCATTAAAAATCCCATGGCACTTCTCGTAAAGTGTAGGGGTGTAACCCCGGTGTCTTGGCCAAATTCCCCCCATCAGCCCTTACCCATCATGGCCCGATTCCTCCGGGTGCTCCGGCTTCCCCCACAGTCCAAACACATGCGCTATAGGGGAACTGAATAAGCTAAATTGGCCGTAGTGTATGTGTGTGAATGCAGGAGTGTGTGGGAGTTTCCCAGTGTTGGGTTGTAGCTGGAAGCTGTGTAAAACATATGCTGGATAATTTGGCGATTCATTCTGCTGTGGCGACCCCTGATTTATAAAGGGACCAAGCCGAAAAAAAAATTAATGCATGAAATGTACTAAATCATAAAAGAATATGTATTTTTTAATAAATGTTATCATTTTAAGACAATGTGTCTGAGAAATAAAGTAAAATGCAACAAAATTACTGCATATTTTACCTAATTAATCATATATAACTCATATAAATCATAATAAGTACTGTATATAATGTTTTAAAATTGCTACAATTTTATTTGTAAGACTGTATATTCATGACTTTTATTAAATGCTTCTTAACTAAAAGTAAGTTTCAATAATTTGTCTTAAAAAAAAAAAAAAAACATATATATTACTTTTGGTAAAAAATAAAACAAATTTCAGTTCCCCATGCACATGAAGATTTATTAAGTCACATTAACAAAAGCTTATATATAAGCTATATGAAGATTCAATCTTTTACTTTCCATATCTGTTAATAAAATTTACTAGTAATTTTATTAACATTAACAAAGAGCATTATACTATAATAATATATAATGGGAGTCAGTGGGATCAATGCATTTCAATGGGCTGTCCCACATCCGTGTTAAGTCAATGAGGCATTTTTAAGGGTGCTTAAATGGCTTTGGGGGTGTGGCTTAAGAGCTTCATTATCACATTGAGACACTGATTGGTTGCATGAGTCAAATAAGCTCACCTCTAAGCCTGTATGACACTGCTGTGTAATGTTATTGATGTGTGGCATTTTTAATGGAAGTCAATGTAATGAATGGATTTCAATGGCCAACGTTAAGTCTATGGCAGGATTTGGGATGTCCTTTCAGGCTGAAACAAATATAATATTAAAATAATATAATAGGTGGTTCATTCCGCTGTGACGAACCCTTTATAAATAATGGACTAAGCCAAAGGAAAATGAATGTATATTATAATAGGGTAAATAGATTATAGAATGGAAAAGTACTTCATTCATCCCTCATAAGAAATAAAAAAAAACATCCAGGAGCTCAAACAATGCAATTTCCTCAAAGCTAACAAGCTAAAATATTGAAAACTCACAAATTCAAGAAGTCCACTACTAAAGATATATAAATACATACAGCATGCACATATATACATACATAAAATAAAATAAATAAATACAATTATTTACTTATTGTCTTTTCGGCTTAGTCATTTTATTAATCAGGGGTCACCACAGCAGAATGAACCGCCAACTTATCCAGCATATGTTTTACGCAGCGGATGCCCTTCCAGCTGCAACCCAGTACTGGGAAACATCCATACACACTCATTTACAAACATACACTACAACCAATTTAGTTCATCCAATTCACCTATAGCGCATGTGTTTGGACTGTGGGGGAAACCGGAGCACCCGCAGGAAACAATCGACACACTATTACCATAAGAATAATAATAAAATAATGCTGTTCATTAGCCTAACTATCAATTTATGCAAAAAAAGGGGCAGTAATTAAAGCAAAGGTCACAGATGTGTGTTCATCTGCAGATTTAAACACAGCTTGAGTCAGAATTATTCAAGAATAAATGGTCATATAGCAAGAAAGGGGTCAAGAAATTCAGCATTAATGAGTCTCCTGTGTACAACTCTGAATCTACAGTTCAGCTCCAGATATGCGATAGTGTTTTCTTTTTCTTGTGTAGATATGTAGTCATTGTACAGTATTCATTCTGCTCACTTCTTGAGCTATGAAAATGTGTATACGTGTATACGCAATTGAATTCAACATTTATTCATCAAATGCATCTAATATTGCACAGTAATATTATATAATACAGAGCTCAACGTATTCAGTTGAAACCAGAAGTTTAATCATACTATGGTAAATGACATGCTAGGGTCATGGTAAATCATACTAAACGTTTACTATTTTAGGTCTGTTAGGATTACCTTAATGATTTAAATTAGCTAAATGCCAGAATAATGACATTTTTTTTGAGAATTTTTTTTATTAATTTCTAGACATTAAAAGTTTACACACATTTCCTTGGTATTTTTTGTAGCTTTGCTTTTAAACTGTATAACTTTGGTCAAATGTTTTGGGGATCCTTCCACAAGCTTCTCACAATAGTTTGCAGGAATTTTGGCCCATTCCTCCTGACAGAATTGCTGTAACCGAGTCAGATTTGTTGGCTGTCTAGCTCGCACAAGCTTTTTCAACTCTGCCCACTAATTTTCTATAGGATTGACGTCAGGGCTTTGTGATGGCCACTCCAAAACATTCACTCTGTTGTCTTTAAAGTACATTTGAGCTAATTTGGCAGTATGCTTAGGCTCATGGTCTGTTTGGAAGACCCATTTGTGGCCAAGTTTTAATTTCCTGGCTGATGTCTTGAGATGTTGCTTCAGTATTTCTCCATAATGTTCTTTCTTCATGATGCCATCTATGCTGTGAAGTGGACCAGTCCCTCCTGCAGCAAAACAGCCCCACAACATGATGCTGCCGCCCCCATACTTTACAGTTGGGATGGTGTTCCTAATCTTATAAGCTTTCCCCTTCCCCTATTTTTTATATTTATTGTGTATCTTCAAATGAATAGGAATGAAGAATGTTGTTTATGGTCTTTCTTCCTGTTTAGACCATAACTGAGTCTTTATTTGTCATTTATAAGGGATTTATAAAGCATAAATAGTCCTCACTTTAGATTAGGTCACAAAACTGCATGAAGCTAAGTTAATGAAGCATGTATTAACACATTAACTATTAGTATATGCCTGAATAAGAATTATAAATATTGATTTAAATAATTAATTACTAACTCGTTCTAAATGATCTAAAAAAAACTATGCTTAAATAACTGACTACTTAATTTAATAATGAAAAATTAATCATCAACAAAGTATGAAAATACAAGTATTAAGCACATTATAAATGTAATTGTAAATCAACAATATAGCATTTGTAACTACAGTTATAAACTTTTACTAACGTTTATAAATGTACAGTTAATGCTTAATAAATAATGAACTCACAAGATGCTAATGCTCAATAAATGGTTCATAGAGTGTAATTATTATAAAGTGTTACCCTTATTTTTTTATTTTAATTAATAAATTCATATTATTATTATTATTATTTATTATTTTCAATAAGGATTATTATTTAATGTAGTTTTTTTCTCCAAGCTTGTCTAGGGTAAGTTTTGGATATTGGGGTTTGAATTCTTGTATTACCTTGAAATAAACAAGGCATTATTATATTTTATTTAAAAAAAAATAAGCATAATCTAGAGGCCTTTGCCTTCATATACGCCATTTCTGATACCAAATGATCAACTAGAAGTCAAGTTATTATTAGTTGTTCCTAAAACTTGGATAAGCGAGAAGACTTTTGTCAGGTACAGTAGTGTATATTCAATGAGAAATGGATAAACATATTTCAATATATTAATATTTTCTCTATATTTTTACTAAATATTTCGGTCCCACTTTATATTAAGTGTCCTTAACTAAT